GACCAATTGAAGTATAACGCAGTTTTTATCACAAAAAGTTTTAAAATGACATTTGAGCATCTTTTTCGTATACATTGTACCAAACACAGCTTTGATGACCACATAGTAATTATAGTCATTAGTGGCAAGTCTCTTGGGCAAAAAATGGTTAGAAACAAATGCACTCTAAGTTTAACTGTACAGATTTCTGTAAATCAGTCACAAGTCGTCTATTTCTGAGAGGCTGTTCAAATGATGACGTACTATCGGATACTGCGACGTAAATTTTGCAGATCAGTATAAAAATAACCATAAGGCATTAATTGGTGGATTATAACTCAATTCACGTATACATAATACACCATTTGACGTATAGTAATGATAGTGAGGTAGACCTATTGAAGTATAACGCAGTTTTTATAACAAAAAGTTTGAAAATAATATTCGAGCATCATTTTTCGTATACATTGTATCAGAGACATATAATACAATAATTATGATAATCTTAACACTGAAAGCCGGTCTGTTTCATAATCAGTTCATGATGTTATTTTAGAACATTCATAATTACTTCGAGTACTTTTAATACTTTTAAGGGCATACGATACAGTTACAGGGGATGTAATGACGTTGCTAACGTAAAATGTTATTTTGGCGACGTAAAAAAAAACGAGTTCATGGACCCCCTTTTTTAAAATGACATTTGGTTTGATTTATACGTATGAAGACTATTTGTACCAATTTTCATGAAAAAGTCAATAATGCAATTTTTTAAAATTTGATAAATATACAGCAAAAAATGACGTTTTTTCTACATTCATGAACAATTGATAAATTTGAGTTATTTCTAAATAATTTAATTTTGGATGTAACACGTCTTTTGATTGGCTGAAAGTGTTTTGCCTATCAGCTCATAGACATAATTTTGTCATGTGACCGTGACGTCACCAACGTTTTTTTCAAAATGAACTCCTTAGAAATGGAAGTTAGAATTAAATTATAAGGAATGACTGTAATATTTTTTTCTGTCTATTCGAAATAACCTAAAAAATGTGGTGCACACTTGTAAATAACCCGCTACGCGGGTTATTCAGTGTGCACCACATTTTTGAGGTTATTTCTTCATAGACAGAAAAAATATTACAGTCATTCCTTAAACAAAAGATTTCATAAATTTATAGGATAATTATATAAAACAGAAATTACAAATAATTTAAGAAAAAAAACAGCTTGTGTTTATCTTTTAAAACAAAATAGTTATGCATTTCTGTCGGAAGGAAAAATACGTCCACAAATCCGAATTTTGAGCAAATATTAGTCCAAATAATTATGACGTCTTGCAAGGCTATTTTAATTTTTTTCTGTGACGCCTTCCTACCTGAAATTTTGAACTCATTTTACTCAAAAAGTAGCCCATGAAGGTATATTTTTTTATTACATATTTGATTTAATCAGCCTATTTGCAAATTTTCATCAAATTTTCATTATGGGATCAAAACTGTATCGTATGCCCTTAATTACCCAAGAAGATCTCGCGAATATTTCCTAGTGGCCGGCAGATATTACGTTAGTTCGCCGAGTTGCAAATCTCTTGTATTATATGTCTCTGATTGTATCATACAAAGCTTGGATGACCACATAGTATTTGTAAGCATTAGTGGCAAGGCTCATGAGCTAAATTAGTCATTTTATTACTTCTACATGTACTTCTACTTCTACTTGGTAGTGACCGCCTTCAACCATGGACAGTCTATACTATAGAAAGTCCCTGCTTCAACACGTTAAAGTTTATGTCACTTGTACTACGCATGGCTTAGTGATATACAGTGAAAATTAACAATTTTATAATAATTAACAAAATTGATTATAACATTTTTACATAGTGCACATTTTTATGTTATTTATTTTTTAATATTAAAGACCAAACAGCCTATTGTTGATGCGCATCAACTAACGCAACTTGGTAGTGACATAAAAGCTCTATGACGTTGTTTCTAGCCATGAAAAAACGTCAAATTATAACGTCCTATTTCGCGTTTTTCACAGATTCCAACATGGTGTACGCTTTTATTAAAAACTACGTCTTCCAAGAAAAGTGGAATTAAGCGTCGCACTGATACCTAGTGGAAATTAAACACAAATGGACACAAAAGATACTACACAATCTGTAACTTCCGTTCTAATAAAAATAATAATGAAAATATAAATTTTGAACTCGGCTTTTTGCGTTTGCCCCGATCTGCATTTCACTTTTTTCTTTCACTTGCGCCGATTTTGTCTTTCATTTGCGCCGATTGTGTACAGGTAAATTATAGGTGAAAGTTATTTTTTTATTTATCATATAAACCTCTTCCGTTAGCCAGTTGTACATATGTTATGAATTGTCAATTATAACATGTATATAAATGTTGTCCCCCTGCTCACAAAGGGGAGGTGGGAGTAGAATTTCGAGCAGGATAAGTCAATTTAAAAGATATTTGTGCACTCTGTTTACATCCACTAAAATCACGGAGTAAAATTCTATTTACAGCATTACAAAGCACCACAATAAAATCCATAAAAATGTAATACTAGTACAATGAATTATTATCTTGCCGAGAATTTATATGCCACACATCTGATTTATTCCTTTCTTGTCATTTTATCTTTTCTATACTTGTTGTACTTGCTAATAACGAAGTCCATCTTTTCTTTCTAGTGTCAAAACGAAGTTCTCGAACAATATGACCAAAATTATCTTAAACATAAGGGAACACTATTTATATCCATATACATTCTAGGTTTACTACATGTACATGTATTTACTCGTTTAGCAAATAAAGTATCGGGGCTAGTGATAAAAAAATAAAATAGGCGCTAATGAAAGAATCAAATCGGCGCAAATTAAAGATCGAAATTTTTTTTAAATCGGCGCAAATCTCGTACGCCCGTGTAACTTTACACTGGTAAATTTATATGACTTACGCTTAGCATTTTAACTTAATATGTGATTTTCAAAACTGAGTTTTCAGAATGTTAGGCCAATAAACAGTACTTTCTAGAAGTTTCGATATACTGGCAACGTACATGTATGCATGTTGAGATTAACTTATTTCTTTAAGATTCTCGTAAAATAATGGTGATCTTGCAATGAAGTTAAATTTTATCTATACTGCTTAATTGACAAAATTTATAGTAAAAATAAGAATGATAAAGGTTCATTGTCTTTTGTCATTTGTTTCATTTCAAATTGTCTCAAGGAGAAATGATAAAGATTTCGCCTGATCTCACAGAAGCTTAAGGCAAAAAAAATAAGAAATTAATATACTCAGTGAATGTGAATTAAAATAAAAATTTACGGGTTTTAAAACTAAACTTGTTGTAAATTTAACTTATGACAAAAACAATTGCTTCAAGAATAAGATCCAACATAAAATTTCTCACTTTCAAAAAGCTACAATGACCGGAAAGATTGAAAACAAATTTCGATTTTCAATGCCGGCAATCTATACATACAACCTTGTCTTTGTTTTAATTTCCAAAATGAGCTATTTAGATTCATAATATTTCATCCTGTTTTGAGAAATACTTTATAGTTTTCAACGGAAAATTATTTCTTAGATTCTAAATCAATTTTTGAATTAAAAACTTATTTGTATATTATATTTACTGTCTCGTTTATTCAAAACACATGAGGTAGTAATAACGGGGATTGTATTTTATGATAGGTTAAATGGATGTAAAACGTTTTAGAATCAAAAACTTTAATTCATATTATTATACCTATAATTTTAATTTTCTTATATTTTAAATATTCAGAAATAATGAATCCACAAACTAGATGGAATAATTTGTATACGCTCGTCTTAGTCGGGACACATAATGGTATAAAGAAGTCCGTCCGTGCTATTGTCTGTCCGTCTGTCAACAGTAGCGAAAGAGTGCGCTAGGGCAAAGTTCTGAAATTGACGCGACAAAAAAACCCACACATATAGTCTAATATAGTCAAATAGTCTGTAAGTTAGCCAGTGTCATCTTTCATTTCTCTTTTTATTTTCAATGATTTTGCTAATGAGAGGGAGAGGACAAAAACAGACTTTCCTTTGTAAAGCGTCGTAAAAGGTTATTTCGAACAATTTTTCATTCCGACGGATGGTGTTTCTGAAGGTTAATTTTGTGCGGCAACAACATCATGAGATCTGATAATGATACATACATGTGATCTCTTGTATTACCGGATAATAAAGAAGGTGAATATAGTTATTATTCTTGATTCTTGAAAATTTAAATGTGGGTTTCAAACGTCCAATTTGCATTGTTTTTCAAACAGTGCGCCAGCAAGGAAAACTTGTACTATGACGTCAGATTCAATGTTCTGAAGAAAGACAACTCTTTTCTTCAAAACGAACGAGAAAAAAACACGAAAATTAATCATAACTTTTTTGAAAGGTTGGTGACATATACATTTTTTTGCATTATTTTGAAGAGTACACATGGCACTTTCTTTCTTGAAATTTTTATGAAAAAATCACTGGTAGATATTTTTTAATACTTGAAACGTTTTTCATTCTTGCGTTTTATTTTTGGCGGGAATGAAATAAATCATATTTTTAAGATCAAAACAATAAATGTCTTAACCTCTTGAACCAGTATTTGATAGACACAAATCTACTGTTTAACATGAAACAAAAATTATGCTTGTAGGTTTGGTATAATGGGATTTTTTGAGAGTTTAAATAACAAGCAAATAGCATGTTCATATTCGGGAAAACACGAAACTGAGGTTGCTATAGTGACAAAACTAAGTCGGTGACCCCCAATTTTTTTTATCATATTTTGTTCCTCAAATCATGAAATACCTTCACACAAAATTTTAAGGAAAAATCACTGGTGGAACTGAATAGGCGGTTTGGTCTTTAAGATAAAACTATTCATAGTATTCTGTAGTGGAATAGACATATTCTTAAGTTATATTATAATTTCATGTGGTGACCCTTTATTCAACTCCATGGAGGTGTGCCTTTATTGGCAGAATTTATACAGATACAGATACAGAAACAGGAAAATCCCTTTTTCTATAAATAAAGTCCTTTCTTTTCTAATATCGCCATTTTGCTTTACAGGTACAAAACAAATATTCCACAAGTAATTAAGTAATATACTTTCTGTATTTTAAAATTCTGCTGCTTAGTTACTTAATTCTAATGAATTACTAAGATTTCTGTAAATCAGTCACATATGTCGTCGATTTCTAAGTGGTTGACATGTAATACACAATGTTTCTGTTCGGACTTTTCGATGATGGATACTGCGACGTAAATTTTGCAGATCAGCATAAAAATAACCATTAATTGGTGGATTATAACTCTATTCACGTATTAGTCTTAAAATGGTATAATAAAAATTAAACAGAGGATATTTCTTGTCTAAATTGAAAGATTTTTGTTCCTTAAATACATAAATGTTCAGTTTCTTGCAAAATTGTGAAATATATCTATGATTGTACACATTTGTGAGATTAATTTAACTTTATCAAAATCTGACCACAATTAAATTTGTTTTATGTACGTCCATAGTTAAGTGAATCTACGGTATATAGCTTTTCCAAAAATGTTTTACAACTGCCCCGCTTGGTTAGTACCTGTATCCACTGTACCGATGATACACGGTGTTGAAGAAGTAAATAATAATATACTTATCTAAGTAAATTTGTTATACTCATATTTTCTTATAAAGTTTGAATAATGTCCCCTTAATTTTCTCAAAAAATTTACTTGTATCAGTAATTTTTTTTTACAATCCCTAAAATTCTCAAGTTTTGGGATTGAAAAACATGCCTTTAACATTTTTTCTCTGGTCAGCTCAAAATTTTTTATTAGAGTTCAATGTTTCATCTCATTAGTTCAACAGAGAAACTAATTTCGCAAAGATCTTTAGTAATTGTAGTAATTGCGCAAGGCCTTCATAAATTGCCCATTGAGGCTTGTAAATGAGCAGTGTTTGAAGATAACAGACAAATGAGATTTTCATTGTCCATGAAATTACACTTCAATGATTAGTAAAGACATCTACAGACAATTAAAAATTCTATTAGAGCAAAGAAGTCCTGAGAAATTCAAGAAAAGAAGATAGTATGACTTTTTTACTTGTACAACAAAATGTATAAGTAAAAAAAAATCTGAATGTCTAAGGGACATAACTAAGCAATTAAAATGATCTACCTATACAAGTAAAAAATAAAATACACTTGTATTAGTATCTTACAATTTTACTTATATAAGTATATTAATATTTACTTCTTCAAGTAAATAAAAATAACTTGTACAAGTAGTACCCCTGACTGACTATTGGCTATCTCCTGGCAGTTCTAATTGAAATAAGTCCTTCATGTCATGCTGTATGCTCATTTTAAAATGGGTAAGCATTATATTTGACCATATTTTACACCTCGCTAATGCTCAGTGTAAAATATCGACAAATATAATGTCTACCCATGTTAAAATGAGCATAGAGTATGACATGAAGGAATTATTTCTTAACTGTTCCTTTTTCCTGTTAGCTGTAATTGATTTTGACATCAATTTGCATGCTGCATTTTGTTAGTGGAGCCAATGCAAATAACTAACATGACCCTTTTCCCAAATCAAATCAAAGTTTTATTTATTGTCGATACATTGCAAACAAAGTAACACAAGCTCTAGTGAGCTTTTAAAATGATTTTTGATTTTTGTGTTTTAACGATACTTTGAAGCACCGCTTTTGGGCTATTTTGTGGCGGCCAGTTTTTATTGGTGGCGGTTGCCGGAGTGCCCGGAGAAAACCAAAGACCTTCGATAGGAAAACTGACAATCCTAGTCAATTAAGATTGGAGTGCACCCGCACGAGCGAGGGTTCGAACTCACAACCTCAGTGTTGACTGGCTAGTGATTACAGTAGTAACTATTTACCACTCGGCCACCAAGGCCCCCAGCTTTTAAAAGAGACATTATACTACATTACACACAAACAAAATGACATGCAAACAAACACACATATTAAGACAATCATACATATAATAAGACATAAGACAGCAAGCAGTCAAGCACATAAGCAAAATAAAATAGTACTGTTCATGCAGATAAATTAGAAAATTAAAGCAAACTAATTTAGTATAAAAAGCAGCAAAAAAGCCAAGCTAAACTCAAATCATAAAGCACTAATTGCATGCATTACATTGGCATGAGCTGCCATTCCAGGTCTGTATTAAATTGGAAAATTGAATTAAAGAAGTTTCCTGTCGAATGTGGTTTGGCAGCTCATTCCATAATTGTGCAGCACTATAATGGAATGATTTTAGCCCATTTCTTGTAGTGTTTACATTCGGTATATCAGCTGTATCCTTGGATCTAAAATTATAACATTGAGTTTTGATATTTATTAAGTCATGAAGATAACTTGAACTTTTCTTGTGTACAATTTTAAATGTTTCAATTCTAATGTTTCTAAGTCTGCGAATTTTTAAAGATGGAAGTTTAGAAGTCAAAAGTAAATTTTCATAGCTGCTTATATAGTCCTCATATATGAAGCGGAGAACTCTTTCCTGAAATTTTTATGCCCCCCTGTTGCGGAGGGGGCATTAAGTTTTACCCTTGTCCGTCTGTACGTACGTACGGGTTGGAACCCCCCTTTTTAAGATGGCTTGATCCATGCCTGACAGAACATTGATGAAAGACCAGTTAAAATTAACAGTCTCAAGAGGAGAAATATCTTATCAGACTTGATGCAGTAGTAAAATCAATATATAAATTGTTAAACAAATATTTATTTTTCAGACTAAATGGTTTGTTAAAGTTTAACAAGGTGGTGCCCCAAGTTAAGAGTAAACATCGTTTTGTTGGGTGGTACCACCTGTAAAATGGTGACTTATGCAGTATTTGTATTTCTAATAACTCTGGTAAGTGCAGTAAATTTAATGAGTGCATTAATAGGAATATTGTACTGCTAACTGTATTATGAAATTTTCATACAGAACAGTAAAGTTTATTTAAAGTTTATGTTTATTAACCTTACATAGTCAGTGGCGGATCCAGAAATTTTCATAAGTGGGGACCCACTGACTGCCTAAGAGGGGGACCGCTCCAGTCATGCTTCATTGATTCCCTATATAATCAACCAAATTTTTCCAAAAAAAAAAGGGGGGCCCGGGCCCCCTGGGCTCCCCCCCCCCCCCCCCCAAAAAAAAAAAAATCCGCCTCTGATAGTTTAAGCAGATTGAAGTTATACATGTATACCAAATGTTAACTATGAAACTATAACAACATGTTAATAAACACTTTGCGCAAGTTTAATTTCAAACAATTTTCCTACGTCTACCTTATCCAGGTTACATCTCTAAAAAATGATAGTGTGGAGTTATATACAAAAAACATGAGTATGCATCAATCTGATCAGAAATTTACACCAATGGCAATAAGTGTAAAAAAATATCATAAGATACATGTATATAGCTACATGTATACTGTTGTGTCGATCTGATTGGAGAGGATAAAAATTTGTCATACACTCTTTTTTTGATTTTGTTATATTCTACACTGGTCTACCAGTGTCTATGTTACATGTAGAGCTTGTCAATGGTCAATTGTTTTTTATACCTCCATGCATTGGAATTTCCTCCTTTACTATCATAAAATTATATCAAAGTACAGGTGTAAACAGCACAAAACGAATGCCAAAAACATGTATTTATTTTATGTGCAGGTATTAAAATTAAATCTATTTTATTTAACGAATCTTTCCGAAATTTTGTCATCATAATTGTTGTGTTTTTTAGAATTAAATCATTAGAATAGAATTAAAATTTTATTTTGACAATTTTGTTTGGTGGTTTATGAAAAGACTCCTTGAAAACATGTTTAATTTATGTTTTGTGTAATTATTTCCACTCTTTAAATGACGGTTGCATTGGTTACCTTTCATAGCAGATTTCTATTGCATTTTTCTCAGCAACCACAAGTTAAATGAATCTCGCTCCAGAACTTTTGTTGCAAAAATAATTTTCAAACTGTCAACTTTTAATATCTTCAGAGTATTACAAGTGCATCTAAACAGTGTTATGCTAACCAGAAATTGAGGATGAATAAAGATGGAGTTCAAATATGCTGTTCCACAGTAAAATGTGGAGAAAGTAAGTTTTGTTAAATGAGAGTCCCAAAAGAATCTAAACGAAATATACAGCAGGGTTCCTCCAGGAATATAGTAGGACTGTGGGAGAAATCCTGCTGGAAATGATATAAGCAACATTACAGTTTCTTTAGTATTTGAATATATATCACATGTTTCAAGGATCTTATTAGTTAAAAAGAATAGAATCTTGTGGGCATTTTGTATACACTGTATGGAAATTTGTTGCATGACAAGAGATCTTGCCAGATGCTCGTTACCACAAAACACAGATTAAGTTTGAATTTTGGTGGTGTCACTTTAACCGTTCTAGAGTTATGCCCCTTTACAATTGGAAAAATTGCTTAATTTTTATACGCCCGTTTACGGGACGTATTATGGTATACAGTTGGCGGTCTGTCCGTCCATCCGTCTGTCCGTCCGTCATCAACATGTCGGACATTAACTCAAAAACGCTGTAACCAATTTGCATAAAACTTTGGTAAATTGTTTATATCAATTGACATGAGCTCCCTTTTGTTTTTTTATAAATTTTAGATTTTACGTTTCCGAGTTATGGGGTTTCATTCATTAAAAAAAGGGGGATTTTCCAGTTTTCAGACAATAATTCAAGAATGCTTTCACCAACTTGCAAGAAATTGTGGTGAATTATTTATATCTATTGAAATGAGCTCCCTTTTGATTTTTATATATTTTAGATTTTACATTTCCGAGTTGCAGGGTTTTATTCATAAAAAAAAGGGGGATTTTCCAGTTTTCCGACAAAAAATCAAAAATGCTTTCAGCAGTTCTTATGAAACTTTGGTGAATTGTTTATATCTATTGATGTAAGCTCCTTTTAGAATTTTATAAATTTTACATTTTACATTTCTGAGTTATAGGGTTTTATTGATTAAAAAAGGGGGGATTTTCCAGTTTTTGGACAATAACTCAAAAATGCTGTCAGAAATTCTCATGAAACTTTGGTGAATTATTTATATCTATTGATGTAAGCTCCCTTTACATTTTCATAAATTTTTGATATGACATTGAGAATTAATTGAACTTTAATTGTTTATAGTCAGACAACAGATTTACTAAGTATTGCGCAACAGCACAGTGTATTGCACAACAGCAAGAAATCTTTAATTGAATATAAATTCAATTCATATAACCAATTTCAAGTTCTTTGACTACATTTATTCAGAACTCTATAATATGTTAAATATTTAATACAATTCAAATTCAGACCTGTATCAAGCTTGAATTTTGTGTCTATTTTTGTCCCAACTGTTCAGGGTTGGACCATTGCGGGCGTATCCAGCTGTGCTCAGCGAAGCAGCTTTTGCCCTTACTGTTCAGGGTTGGACCTCTGCGGTCGTATCCAGCTGCGCCAGGCGAAGCAGTTTATTACCAACTGGTCAGATTCTACCACTGCATTGCGTGTGATACAATATTTCTCCACTGTAGACAGTTAAATTTTCAAATATAAAACACCAGGCTTCCCAAGCGTTTTAAATATTTGAAATTTAACTGTCAAGAGTGGAGAAATATCATAATGCACGAGATTTGGATCTGATTCTTTTATGAATTTTAGACAATATGTAGATAAGCTTAATTCTTTTTTTCCTATTATCTGCAAAAAGATGTGTTCTTTATGTGTCGTCCTCAGGCATGGTCGCCTTTTTATATGCCCGTTTACGGGACGTATTATGGTATACCGTTGTCCGTCTGTCCATCCGTCCGTCTGTCCGTCTGTCCGTCCGTCCATCTGTCCGTCTGTCTGTCCGTCCGTCGTCAACATGTCGGACATTAACTCGAAAATGCTTTAACCAATTTGCATAAAACTTTGTTGAATTGTTTATATCTATTGACGTGAGCTCCCTTTCGTTTTTTATAAATTTTAGATTTTACGTTTCCGAGTTATGGGGTTTTATTCATTAAAAAAAGGGGGATTTTCCAGTTTTCGGACAATAACTCAAGAATGCTTTCACTAACTTGCAAGAAATTGTGGTGAATTGTTTATATCTATTGACATGAGCTCCCTTTTGATTTTTATAAATTTTAGATTTTACATTTCCGAGTTACAGGGTTTTATTCAGAAAAAAAGGGGGATTTTCCAGTTTTTGGACAAAAACTCAAAAATGCTTTCGGCAGTTCTTATGAAACTTTGGTGAATTGTTTATATCTATTGATGTAAGCTCCCTTTAGAATTTTATAAATTTTACATTTTACATTTCTGAGTTATGGGGTTTTATTCATTGTAAAAGGGGGGATTTTCCAATTTTTGGACAATAACACAAAAATGCTGTCAGAAATTCTCATGAAACTTTGGTAAATTGTTTATATCTATTGATGTAAGCTCCCTTTTGATTTTCATAAATTTCTAATATGACATTGAGAATTAATTGAACTTTATTTGTTTATAGTCTGAAAACAGATTTACTAAGTATTGCGCAACAGCACAGTGTATTACACAACAGCAAGAAATCTTTAATTGAATATAAATTCAATTCATATAACCAATTTCAAGTTCTTTGACTAGATTTATTCAGAAACCTATAATATGTCAAATATTTAATTACAATCCAAATTCAGACCTGTATCAAGCTTGAATATTGTGTCCATTTTTGCCCCAACTGTTCAGAGTTGGACCTCTGCGGGCGTATCAAGCTGCGCTCAGCGAAGCAGTTTATTTTGTGACGCCACAATAGGAAATTCAGAGGAAAGCAAGAAAATATGACGTCATAATTGAATTTAACCAATAAAGAACTGAGTTTAAAGGAACCGCACATTGATTAAAAAAAAATAATCAGCAGGTCAGGAAAAGGATAAATCAATTAGGAATTAGGGAAAAAAGACTGCAATTTATGTTAATGTTTTTAAAACCAACAAATATCTCATTGGCTGGTTAACGTGCCTGTAGTGCTTGAATTTTTCAAAAGATGTGTATATCATATTTATTGATGCTCTATGTAGTATACTTCACTTATTTCAAAGTTTTATTTCTATTTCTTTCAGGTAAAACCTTTAAATACTGCACAAATGATGGTGGTTCAGATAAATGTGTTGACTGTCCACCAGGTACCTTCACAAGAGATAAATTTGATACCAAACTGTTTCCTCTCTATAACCCTGAAAAGTGGCAGAAGGAGCTAAGAATATGCGCTTCTCTTCCATCATGTGATGCAGGTAAGAATATGCATGCTGTTTAGAATGTTTTATATTAGAGGGTCTCGATGGGGTTTACAGAATAGGGAATAATGGGCAAAAATTGCAGAATAAAGGGGGAAAACCTTAAGAAAAGAGAAAAAATAGGCAAAAAAGTTATGAATAGAGAATAATGGGATGCTAAATTAATAAGAATAAAGAAATGATGGACCCCCATCCAGACCCTCATATAATTATAAGGGAATTGTTTCTGTCATACATACACAACAAATTGACATCATTTTGTAAAGGTCAAGGAACTGTAAATGGGCTACAATGTATGTCACAGATGTTGGTAAAATTTTGGCTTGTTGTAAACTAAAAATCGAAAAAATAATGCATTTGTCTCTAATTTTCTGAAATGATACTAAATAAATTTTCATTGTTAGCGCTCTCACATGTACAATTTTTGCCAGATTTTTATCAAACTTATATTGTAGGTTTATATGAGCAATGTCTTCGACGAGTTCGAAAATCAGTGCTGATCAATTATTTTTAAAAAGGTTATGCCCTTTGGAAACATTAATTATATTGAAAATTGCATTGTTAGCGCTCTCACATGTACAATTTTTGCTAGATTTTTATCAAACTTATATTGTAGGTTTATATGAGCAATGTCTTGGATGAGTTGGAAAATCAGTGTCGATCAATTATTTTTAAAAGAGTTATGCCACTTGGAAATATTAATTATATTGAAAATTGAATCGTTAGCGCTCTCATTTGTACAATTCTTTTTAGATTTTTATGAAATTTATATATATTATAGGTTTATATCAGCAATGTCTTGGACAAGTTCGAAAATCAATGCCGATCAATTATTTTTAAAAGAGTTATGCCCTTGGAAATATTAAATTTATTATAAATTGCATTGTATCTGATCTCAAGCCTTCATTTCTCAAAGATATTTATAAAAAGTTTTAAAGAATAAAAAGAAGTTGTTTATTTTAGTTATTGTCTTTGATCCTTGGACAGATAAAATATGTGCAACACGGGGACATTGGAACTCTGTTTCATTTAATTTATTGTTTAACAAGCCAAAGTTGTATGCAAAATTTTACTGAAATCTGTGACATATATATAAAAATAAGGAGATGTGGTATGATTGCCAATGAGACAACTATCCACCAAAGTTCAAATGAAGTGGATGTAAGCAATTATAGGCAACTATACGGCCTTCAACAATGAGAAAAAACCCATACCTTATAATCCATTTACTTTAACTTGACCTTAAATAGATTTTAAGATATTAATATGATAAACACTCATCTCAAAATTTATTTGCAGAAGAAAATCTTTTGGTTGGTACTAAATGCCGCTGCAACTTGGATAAAGGATACTTTGGTGAAGATGCCAATAACTGCATATTAGATCGAAGAAACTGTAAAAATAGAGGAGTGCAGTTGACCATTCAAGGTTTGTGATTCCTATAATGATCCATTAATGAATACCTTTAGAATCTAACACTGGAAGGAGTAGAAAACAGGACAATCTCTTGACACCAAATAATATCTAGTTTCTAGTCTCTGACAGTGCTTGTCATAATCTGGTTATATTGCACTCGCCTTGTCCTTCCTTCAATCTGTTGATTTGTCCAACAGATATTTTAAACACTGTTCTCAGGAACTGTTAAACTGAATAACTTCATATTTGGTCATCAGCTTGGTTGTAATGTGCAAGCAGTCTTCAGATTTGTCTGTATTTCCAGTTTACAGATACTTAGCATATTTCAATATGTGGAATGAGAACAAATATTTTGGTTGCACTTTTGTACAGATTGACTTCATATTTGGTCAGCAACTTTACAGTGATGAGTTGTAATGTATAAGCCCTTTTAGTATTTGTCAGAAAAGTACTTCTGTTTGCTGATAGTTTGAATATTTCAATTTGTTTCATTTCTCCAGTATTACTGAAAAGAATGACTTCATATTTGGTCAGCAGCTTAACAGTGATGACTTGTAATGTGTTAGCAAATTTTGTTTCCTGATACTTTTAATTTTGGGTATGCTTAGCCAAACAAGGTCTGCAATCTTGTTTATTTTATCATCTATGTAGCTTGAAAGTTCCATAATCACAAGCAATTTCAACGTGTCTGCTTTTGAAGTATTAAAGTCTTTCAGATAACATTTCACAACCATTTTTGTCTCGCCTACAATGAAAGTTGCAGAAAGTGAGACATAGGGATTGCTTTTCTGGTGACGACTGCGGCGATGGCGTCAACAATTGTAAAGTTTTCTGCAGAAGTTAGTTTGATAGGAATACTTGTGATAGATCAATGATATCTAACTTAAAGTTGCATTACTATCAGTACATATCAGTTTTATGACTATTTCCAGGCCCTGCGTCCTAGGTCATGGTCCTGTGACTTTGAATTAATAAGCAATTTTCAGTGTTAAGTTTTTTCTGTTTAAGTTAGTTTGATAGGATCTTCTTGTGATAGATCAATGATATTTTGTATGAAGTCGCATTACTAATTCTACATGTCAGTTTGATGACTATTTTGAGGCCCTGCCCCCTAGGACATGGTCCACTGACTTTGAATTAATTAGCAATTTTTATACGACTGCAAAAAAATTTTGTGGTCGTATATTGGTATGACGTTGGCGTCGTTGTTGTCGTCCGAAGACACATTGGTTTTCGCACTCTAACTTTAGTTTAAGTGAATGGATCTCTGAAATTTTAACATAAGGTTCAATACCACGAAAGGAAGGTTGGGATTGGTACCAACAGTTAAGGAATTAGGGGCCAAAAAGGGGCCAAAAATAAGCATTTTTGTAACTTTCAGACATAACTTGTATGTTAGTGTATGGATCTCTCTGACATTGTACCACAAGGTTCCATATCACAAAGGGAATGCTGGGATTGATTTTGGGGGTAATTGCCTCAACATTTTAGGAATTAGGGGCCAAAAAAGGGGCAAAAAACAAGCATTTTTATAGTTTCATGACAATAACTTGTGTGTAAGTGTATGGGTCTTTTTGAAATTGTACCACAAGGTTCCATATCACAAAGGGAAAGCTGGAATTGAGTTTGGGGGTAATTGCCCAAAATGTTTAGGAATAAGGGGCCAAAAAGGGGCCAAAAATAAGCATTCTTCTAGTTTCCAGACAATAACTTGTGTTCAAGTGTATGGATCTCTCTGAAATTGTACTGCAAGGTACTATACCACAATGGGAAGGTTTGGATTGATTTTGGGGGTAATTGCCTCAAAATTATAGGAATTAGGGGCCAAAAGGGGCAAAAAAACAAGCATTTTTCTAGTTTCAGGACAATTACTTGTGTGTAAGTGTATGGATCTTTATGAAATTGTACTACAAGGTTCCATATCACAAAGGGAAAGCTGGGTTTGAGTTTGGGGGTAATTGCCCTAAACGTAAAGGAAGTTGGGGCCAAAAAGGGGTAAAAAAACAAGCATTTTTCTAGTTTCCAGACAATAACTTGTGTTCAAGTGTACAGATCTCTCTGAAATTGTACTGCAAGGTTCCATACCACAAAGGGAAGGCTGGGATTGAGTTTGGGGGGTGATGAATCGTAAGGGGGTTCAAAAAATTTGAGGTGGGATTTTTTTTTCCTTTTTTTTCTTTAAAATTTTCCATTTTAAATTGGTTATTTTTATACGACCGCAAAAATTAAAAATTTTTTGGTCGTATATTGGTATGACGTTGGCGTCGTCGTCGTCGTCGTCGTCGTCGTCGTCGTCGTCGTCGTCGTCGTCCGGCGTCGTCCGAAGACACATTGGTTTTCGCACTCTAACTTTAGTTTAAGTGAATGGATCTCCATGAAATTTCACCATAAGGTTCAATACCACAAAAGGAAGGTTGGGATTGATTTTGGGGGTTATGGTACCAACAGTTAAGGAATTAGGGGCCAAAAAGGGGCCAAAAATAAGCATTTTTGTAACTTTCAGACAATAACTTGTGTGTAAGTGTATGGATCTCTCTGACATTGTACCACAAGGTTCCATATCACAAAGGGAAGGCTGTAATTGATTTTGGGGGTAATTGCCTCAAAATTTTAGGAATTAGGGGCCAAAAAAGGGGCAAAAAACAAGCATTTTTCTAGTTTCATGACAATAACTTGTGTGTAAGTGTTTGGATATTTCTGAAATTGTACTACAAGGTTCCATATCACAAAGGGAAAGCTGGAATTGAGTTTGGGGGTAATTGCCCGAAACGTTTAGGAATTGGGGGCCAAAAAGGGGCCAAAAATAAGCATTTTTCTAGTTTCCAGACAATAACTTGTGTTCAAGTGTATGGATCTCTCTGAAATTGTACTGCAAGGTACCATACCACAAAGGGAAGGCTGGGATTGAGTTTGGGGGTGATGAATCATAAGGGGGTTCAAAAAATTGGGGGGGGGATTTTTTTTTTTTTTTTTTTTCTTTTTTTCCTTTTTTTTTTCTTTTAAAATTTTCCATTTTAAGTTGGTTATTTCTGATTTATATTTAAAAGCAAATAATAATGATATGGTAGGAGATACACACCAAACAGGATGTGTAAATTATTATATAATAAGTATTGTGCAATAGCAAGAAATTTTCAATTGCACAGTATTGCACAATAGCAAGAAATCTTCAATTGCACAGTATTGCGCAATAGCAAGAAATCTTCAATTTAACAGTATTGCGCAATAGCAAGAAATATCCAATAGCACAATATTGCGCAATAGCAAGAAATTGTCAATTGTACAGTATTGCGCAATAGCAAGAAATATTCAATTGCAGAGTATTGTGCAAAAGAAGATACTTCGTATAAATTGCTTATTTCTTGATCAATTTCAATGGGGTTTTATTCTTGAATTCTTGGGGTTCTTTAATATGCTGAATCTAACCGTGTATTAAGTTTTTGGATTTTGGGCCCCGTTTTTAAATTGGTCCACATTGAGGTCCAAAGGGTCCAAAATTAAACTTTGTTTGATTTCAACAAAAATTGAATATATGGGGTTCTTTGATATGCTGAATCTAAACATGTATTTAGATTTTAGATTTTTGGCCCAGTTTTCAAGTTGGTCCAAATTGGGGTCCAAAATTAAACTTCGTTTGATTTCAACAAAAATTGAATATATGGGGTTCTTTGATATGCTGAATCTTACCATGTATTTAGATTTTTTATTTGTGGGCCCGCTATCAAATTGGTTCATATTGAGGTCAAAAGGGTCCAAAATTAAACTTTGTTTGATTTCATCAAAAATTGAATTATTGGGGTTCTTTGATATGCCAAATCTAACTGTGTTTTTAGATTTTTAATTTAGGGTCCCGTTTTTTAAATTTGTCTACATTAAGGTCCAAAGGGTCCAAAATTAAACTTAGTTTGATTTTAACAAAAATTGAATTCTTCGGGTACTTTGATATGCTGAATCTAAACATGTGTTTAGATTTTTGATTATGGGACCAGTTTTCAAGTTTGTCCAAGTTGGGGTCCAAAATTAAACTTTGTTTGATTTCAACAAAAATTGAATATATGGGGTTCTTTGATATGCTGAATCTAACCATGTATTTTGATTTTGGACATTGGACCATAATAGGTAAATTAAAAAAATTGAAGTTCTTAGACCACATTCTTTCTGTGTCAGAAACCTATGCTGTGTCAAATATTTAATCACAATCCAAATTCAGAGCTGTATCAAGCTTGAATGTTGTGTCCATACTTGCCCCAACTGTTCAGGGTTCGACCTCTGCGGTCGTATCAAGCTGCGCCCAGCGAAGCATTTTATTTATTTATATATATAAGCAAGTAATAATGATATGGTTCGAATAGGTTCTTAAGTTCTTAGACCACATTCATTCTGTGTCAGAAACCTATGCTGTGTCAAATATTTAATCACAATCCAAATTCAGTGCTGTATCAAGCTTGAATGTTGTGTCCATACTTGCCCCAACTGTTCAGGGTTCGACCTCTGCGGTCGTATCAGGCTGCGCCCAGCGGAGCATTTTATTCAATGTTAACTTTACTACTTAAGTCAGTTTGATAAGAACTACTTGTGAGAGATCAATGATATTTTGTTTAAAGTTGCATTGCTATCAGTACATATCAGTTTGACAATTATTTTCAGACCCTGCCTACTAAATGATAGTCCAGGGACTGAATTAATAATTCCTGTTCCTGTCCATCAGATTGTCTTTTTATGAATTTTTATACCGACAGGCGAGACATATCTCTGTGTCAACAGTTTATTTTTTTTAACCCTGGATAATGACATGACGTGGCTCTACCTCATGTTAGAAAGAAATTGGTTCTGATTGGTCATAAATGATAAATTTTGATTTGAATTTGAAGTAAGAATGTGATATATTCAATAGGTCTGTGTGTTCCTTGTCCTGCAGATACGTTCAAAACAGAAGATGGAGATTACAAACAGTGCAGAAATAAAACAAGGTAAGTATTATCGACTATGAAATGATTTTCATTGCTTGATTCTGATTTAATTGATATAATACCTGTTTAAATTTTCAACTTTGCTTGATATTTCATACCATACATGCTTAGATTTTTAGGAGATACTTGATAAAGAAGTTAGTAAATAGAAATAAAGTTTCATTAAGTATATTTTATGATAAATGTCAATTTAATTAGACTGTGATTTAATTTTGCAGATGCCAGGCAAATGAGGAAGAAACTTATCCTGGTTCTTCGACAACAGATAGAAGATGCAAAAAGAAAGAAATTACACAAACAACTACAGTTGGTCCTCCAGTTATGAGTAAGTATTTCAAAGTTGAAATTATAGTAAAAAGATCATCAATATGAAAATAAGAAGATGCCAGTGTGGTATGATTGCTAATAAGACAACTCTCCACCAGAGACCAATTGACATAAAAACTAGCAACTACAGGTCACTGTACAGCCTTCAACAATGAGCAAAACCCATACCTTGTTGTCAGCTATACAAGAAAAATGGCCTGATTTATGTACAAAACAATAAACAAACAAACAAAAATGGTATACAGCAAACAAAGGACCACCACTTAATTACAGGCTCCTGACTTGAAACCGGCACGTACAGAATGTGTTGAGGTTAAACATGTTTGTGAGCCCAGTCCTCCTCCTAACCTGGGACAATGGTGTAACAACACAACATATGATCAACAGGGGTCACCTCACTTCAGAATTAAAGGGAGAAGTGACTTCTTCCTGGCAGCCAAACAGGGAGAAGTGAAGACCCAATAGGGAGACTTCAGGTAGAAGTGAAGCCCCAATACTTTTTTAGAATTAAATTTTCCAAAGTATCTATACATTTTTGTTATTTTTCAAAGCAGTTTGCATGACAACTGTTAAGGTGGTTTTTCCTTGCCTTGCCATGCTTGTGGTCTGAATTACATTTGTACCTCAAATAAAAATAAAAAGACGCAAATCTTTTAATTACAATGTTCAAATGTATTTTAAAGATTGATTGACAGGAATATAAATTTGGTTCACACTGATTATGTTGCCTGACAGCCTCTGGCTGTTGCTTGCAACATATAGTGACCACTTTTGTAGTCTTGGGTAATAATCAGTGTAGTTGGATAGTCTTAACTTCATTACATTTTTATTAATCCACAACTTCTTGAAAACAATTTGACAAAATTCAACAAAATGTGTAAAAGATCCTATAACAGGGCAAAAAGTTGATAAGTTAATTTTTGATCTAAGTGATTTTTGGGTTTCCCATACCAAAATATGGACTCATCAGTTTCTGTTAAAAATAAACAGCAGGCTTTAGGTCCAGGTGAGAATCACAGGTTATTTAGAGCATCTAGTTGTATTCTAATAAAAAATGTTAAGTATTTCCAGTTGCATCCATGATAATGCTATCAAATGTAATGTATATGGGCAATATCTGTGCAACTGATTCCTTCATAGACCCTTTAATTTCTAAATAACTTAGATAAGCCCATAGATTGCTTAACTATTTTGATTTATGTTTATTTATTTAAGATATAACAAGTGTCACAGATAAAAGCAGGGACGAGAAGTCTACACCAGTTGAGGCATGGTAAGCAAAGACAGTTTCAATTCTGTAATTGCTATTCAGCTAATGGGAAGTTTATTTGCTTTAAATAAATATGCATATGAACATTATTACAGTTGCAATCTGTCAATAAATGTTAATATTTTTGATTGACTTTTTGCTTTGGAGAAATTTTATCTACAGGAATATAAATGCTTTTAAAAGAAAGTACTTGACACTGACCTACACATCATTCTTCATTCTTTATTGACATTGGTTAAAAATTACATCTGAGTAAATTTTTTTCCAATACATTTCAACTTGCAATCACATAAGTGAGTATTTTTATTCATCTAAGGCTTGATTTCATCCTATTAAAGGTAGACATAATAACCTATATTTTCTTCTCCAAGAAGCATTCCTAAAGACTATGATATTATTTACAGGTTAGTACCGGTGCTTATTGTGATTTTCATGATATTAGGAGTATTTGGAGGTTACATATACAGGCAGCGAATTTTAGGTAAGTGTGTTATTATTGTTTGCTAAATCATTCACCTGAAATGTTAACATAATACTCCTAGGCTGACAATGAAGACTTTTGACTGTGCCCTGAGCAGTTTGTATCTTGATTTACATAAATCTCATATAAATATTAAACGAGGTCAGCGAAAAAAAGGTTGCACAGAAATAATTATTTGCAAAGGCACCAACAACAGTAATTGACTTGCTGACTTTGGAATAGATAAAAAATATCAGTGCATTTAGTTAGTTAATAAACAATATTTTACTATTATTATACTTTTTCATGTCCGTTTCATGAACCAAATGTTATGCAACTTATACACAATGCTTTTTACCACTAAAATCCGATCAAGTATGAATTTGGGTAGTGTCACTTTTACTGTTCTTGAGTAATGTCCCTTTATAGTGTTATATGCAAGCGGGGGCATCATCTGTGTCCCATGGACACATTCCCCATTTATTTTTTTTATGTTTTTTGGGTTGGGATTTTTTTTTTGGTATGGATCTTGGGTTTTATCCTTGGCTGTGTCAAATCAAAGACTTAAAAAAACTTATTCATTTCTCATTAACATGTTATGCTAAATAATATGCATGTTTATCAGGCCTTGTTTTGATGGAATGTATGTCCTGAATAACCTGCATATAATATTTGCCTGTTTATGTTAGAGGATTGATGATTGAAGACCCTCAACAAACAATTTTCATATAGTGTTGATTAGTTGGCTAACATGACATTATTTGAGGCATATGTTTTTATACGCCCGTTTACAGGACGTATTATGGTATACCGTTGTCCGTCCATCCCTCTGTACGTCCGTCTGTCCGTCCGTCGTCAACATGTCGGACATTAACTCAAAAACGATTTAACCAATTTGCATAGAACTTTGGTGAATTGTTTATATCTATTGATGTGAGCTCCCTTTCATTTTTTATAAATTTTGGATTTTACGTTTCTGAGTTATGGGGTTTTTTTCTTTAAAAAAAGGGTGATTTTCCAGTTTTTGGACAATAACTCAAGAATGCTTTCACCAACTGGCAAGAAATTGTGGTGAATTGTTTATATCTATATATTGACATGATCTCCCTTTTGATTTTTAAATATTTTAGACTTGACGTTTCCGAGTTACAGGGTTTTATTCATAAAAAAAGGGGGATTTTCCAGTTTTCAGACAAAAAATCAAAAATGCTTTCAGCAGTTCTTATCAAACTTTGGTGAATTTTTTATATATATCTATTGACGTAAGCTCCGTTAAGAATTTTATAAATTTTTCATTTATCATTTCTGAGTTATGGGGTTTTATTCATTAAAAAAAGGGGGGATTTTCCAGTTTTCGGACAATAACTCAAAAATGCTGTCAGCAATTCTCATGAAACTTTGGTGAATTGTTTATATCTATTGATGTAAGCTCCCTTTACATTTTCATAAATTTCTAATATGACATTGAGAATTAATTGAACTTTATTTGTTTATAGTCTGACAACAGATTTACTAAGTTTTGCGCAACGGCACAGTGTATTGCACAACAGCAAGAAATCTTTAATTGAATATAAATTCAATTCATATTATAACCAATTTCAAGTTCTTTGACTTCATTTATTCAGAAACCTATAATATGTCAAATATTTAATTACAATCCAAATTCAGACCTGTATCAAGCTTGAATATTGTGTCCATTTTTGCTCCAACTGTTCAGGGTTGGACCTCTGCGGGCGTATCCAGCTGCGCTCAGCGAAGCAGTTTATTTTCCATTGAAATCCTATGGAAATTCACATTTCCATCTTCTTCTAGCCATTTTTATTAAACTAAATTAAACTTTGATTAAACTGTTGAGGATTGATGTATGGGCAAACTTTTAATACACAATTTTCATTTGGTCCTGATTGAATGTAAAACATTACTGCAAGAGGAATTACTGTAGACTCAAAAAATTTTGAGTGCAATCATTATTGTGATTGTTGAATAATGGACAAATATGTGAGGTAAATAATTGCAATTTCAGGAAATGCTACATACAAGGTATTAAAATTTTGAATGTGAGTTTTGATTTTTTGGAGACACATCCAGTCTTAATTTTCACAATAATAAAAACCATTGCAAAAATTCTAAATCTCAGTTATGAATTATTTGATCGGCCAATTTTCAAAAAAAGTCTCTGAAATTACAAGGTAGAATAGTTTGAAACTTGACAGATTGATGAGAGTGAAATCATCTATAGCTAAACTATTGACGTGAAAGATTGGGTTGTCAGAGAAACTTATGCATCTTGATTTTGTCTTCAATGAACTCAATAATAAGATGACCTGTTATTCCTCTTTGAACCTCTTGTTGATTCTTAGTTACAAAAAAAGAAAACTAAATAATACTTCAAATGATAGATCTTCTAACTTGCACACTCTTTATAAGAGGTTTAAAGAAAAACTATTTTTATTTTTATAGAATTTTGTCGAAATGTTAAAAAAGATCGCCATGAAGAAGCAGAAATACATGAGTTAGAATCACTGACGGCAACCCCTGGAAATGGTAGTTATGTGGTATTACACACTGATAGTAAAGTTGATTATAATGGTAATCCGAATGCACCCCATGGTCATCATTATGAGAATGGTGGAGAGATTAATAGAAATCTGAACAATACTGGTGGTTTTGGTGGGTCAGCAAGCCAAAATGGGTTCAGTGGAAACAGGAAAACAAATCTGAAGGTAGATGTAGAGAGTCCTAATAATCCGAGGGAACACACTGATCCGAAGTTAGTTGTTGAGAGTCCAAATAATCCAAGGGAACAGACAGATCTCAAGGTAGTTGATGAGATTCCAAATATCCAGGATAGGAAGAAAGACAAATCTAATGGCATTCCTACAACTGTCCAAGGTGCAACATCTATTCCATTAAGAGGTCAAGATGGATATGTATCTTTGGGTGATAGTTTATACGATAATGATCCTACTTCTTCAGGATATAGTGGAAACCAAGTAGATACCAGTGAATCAATCAAAAGCCAGGAAAGACGTTTATTATCAAATAATTCCATAGAAGAATTCACGCCTACCAGTTCAGGAAACATACCAACACCTAGCCTTCTTGGGAGCTTAGAGACAACACATGATTCTACCAACAGTAAGGAGGCATACAGTACAGGGGAAGGTGTTGGACCAAAGTCAGACACAGGTGAAGATCATATTAAGAATAATAAAAGGAGTCCAATCTTAAACCTGTCAGATAAGAAGAATGAAGCATGTACAGATCGCCCAGTTGGTAAAGGTATGGAGTTTGACATTACAATTTGAAAGGAATTAATCACTCATAATATGAGTATAATATATAGATTTATTTTATAAGTGAAACATATGGGTCACAATGAATTCAGAAACTCAGGGTTTAATCTGATTTTTATTTTTATTTCTTCATTATTACTTGGCAAAATACTGGTCTAAAGTTGCAGCTGTTGGAAACTTCTAGCTAAATTCTATTTCTTGCATCAAAAATGTTTTTTTTTCCTAGTAACAAACCTGAATGCAAATCAACCCAAAAACCAACTTTTTTGTTCCAATTGACATGTCATGATGGCATACAGAATACAAGGGAATCTGTTCTATTTTTAATTTTTTTTTGCTGAACATTGCACTTTGATTCCTATGTCTAAATTTGAGTTGAAATCCAGGATATAATGTAATTTTCACCATAATCTCTTTTTTTTTTTACTTCTTTTGGATGTGAATCGTTTTTAGTGTTGCATGTTTAGAATGTTATTTCTCCTATCTCATTAAATTGTTGTCACAGGAAATTCAACAAGCTCATATTCATTTGATAGAGTTAGTTTAATTTGCTAAATAGGCCATTATTGGCCTAGGTACCAAAAAGTAAAATAACAAAAATACCGAACTCCAGGGAAAATTTTAAACGGAAAGTCCCTAATCAAATGGCAAAACCAAAAGCTCAAACACATCAAACAAATGGATAACAACTGTCATATTCCTGACTTGGTACAGGCATTTTCTTATGTAGAAAATGGTGGATTAAACCATGTTTTATAGCTAGCTAAACCTGTTTGACAGTTGCATAAAATTCCATTAAATGGCATTATAGTGACAACCATGTGCGAACAAAACAAACAGACATAATAGGTAAACATGTCAAAAATAGGGGTACAGCAGTCAACTTTGTGTTATAATCTTAATCACTATAAAAACAAACAAATATGTCAACAAAGAAAAACAAAAAGGCATATAGACAAATCACATTAGCAAAAACGAAAGACAAGAATACAAAAATTCACCATTGCACAATAGCACAATGTTGGGATGTATAAGTACCGAGCCTCGTCAAATTGATGTTACCAAAAATAGACTAAACAGTAAAAGTAATAATTTACAAAGACAAATAAAAGAATACTATAACATGTTATTAAGATGATAAACAATGACAGTACCTAGAATATATACTTCAAGACCATCGTGTATTATTTGTGAAGTTGATACGGAATATTTATCAACAAGGTCTTCGTATCTTCCAATGAACTTTTTTAGAAATAAAGTATTTGATCAAATGATATCCATATTTTATTGTTTTTGTGTAATAGTACCCAGTAATTATTCTTATAGTATCCAGGACCTCAGTGACATGTTCAGTGTTAATAATAAGGTGTAACTGTGCAAGTGATGAAAAATAAAAAGTACATATATATTATTATACTTTAAATTTTTAAAACAGTTTTTAGAACATTTTCAATAAAGGATCATGACAGACAATTTTTGTTTTCTCCTCTCCATTTTCTTTTTAACTCTTAATCACATTTTTTCCAAATTTACATGAATTTATATGGAGGAATTCCAATTATCTACTCACTACAAATGTATTTCATGTATTGTGAGCCCCAAAAAGTAGTTTGATTTTAAACATAACAAATGCTCTCAGTGGAAATTAAACATTTAAAAAGTTTATATTGATACATAAAAATATTCATCTTCATACCTGTTGATTTAACTGAAAATGTTTGCTTCAGAAATTAAAAGTATGGGATGGTCAATTTGTATTTTTTGGGAGGGGTTTATGAGATCAATTGTTAGATTTTTTTTTAAAGAGTACCCAACAGGTATGCAAAAAATAATTTTGAAATTAAGAGTACACCCAAATGATCTGGTACTATTTAAAATGCTGTCCTGAGTTTAAACAGATGTGCCTGCCTTAAAACGTGAATTAATACCAGAAAATTATTGTGCTGCTCTTATTTTATAATTAAAATTGCTGTACTTCTTCATGCTTATTTTACCTTTTTAAACATTTTCAATCGATGATTTTATTTCAGTTTCACCAACAATAAGACCTGATCCTCAAAACCAGCAAAGTCCAAATGCTAGTCAAAATGATGATCAAGTCCAACCTTTGAACACTACTGTAGGGGGAATAGATATTGGAACAGCTTCAAATAATGATAGTTACAAGTTTGTTCCATCTCATGCTAATCGTTTGGAATTTAGTTCTGAAAATGGAGAGAACCTTGCTGCTGCTGATACCCAAGAATTAAATGAACCAATGAATGACAGGACTCAGGAATCTTCATCTCAGGACCGTATTCAGTCAGTGAGTCAGCCACAATCTTCCAACAGAATTAGAACATCAGAGCCTGAAGGAAACGGAACTAATTTGTCTGAGAATGGAACTTCACATACATTTAGAACACATTCTGGTCGAGAGGTGTGCACACCAGAATCAGCAAACAACAGCCACGAAAGTAGCATTGAACAAAACACCAGAGACGATGTAAGTTTCCAATGACAGAGTACTTAGTTGGACATTGATTTTTATAAGGCAAATTCAAATCAAATTCAATTTAAATTCCTTAAAGACTTTCAGTAAAGGCATAGTCTTACAGTGCAGTCTTTGTTTTACTTAAAATATTTGAAAGTAACTGTTTTACAAGCAAATATTATGTCAATGATAGAAATTTTTGAAGACTGCTAGGTTCAATAGTAGGGTTTACACACAAATTATGTTCTTGTGTAGAAATTACAATTTTCTATGCAATAAAAAAATTGTGTGTTATTTTATACATTTACAAAAATGATTACACATCTTACAATGTTTTTTGAAAACTTCAAAAGTACAACTATTCATGTGCATTATCCAGTCAGAGGTATTGTAAAAGAACTGATCTGTTAAATTGAATCACAATTTAGATCAGTGAGACAGCTACCCACCTAAACATGTCCAGAATTATTTCGGCAAAGACCAGGCATTCTTTAGAAAATGTTTGTCTCAGTGGAAAATGTCCTGTTGGAAATGAGTTAACACTGCTTGGTCTACATATCAGTAATTGTTTTAACACAGATATTAAAGTTAAGATCATTTTTTTCTTCATTATTGTCCTGTAAGCAAGACTTAGGCTTGCTTTTTCCAATGCCAGTGGCATCAACAATTGTTTAAAGTTTATGATTAGGTTTCACAGGCAAGACATATCTCAGTTAACAGTTGATCTAATTATTGACAATGACCATTTTTTGTGTGTTAACTTGTAGGTTTACAAAATTGGAATATCAGGTTTTTGCAGGGAAAATAGTAATTTTTACAAAAAATTGAAGATGAAATAACTTCAACTGGTGTAAGATTCTTTATTTTTATTCTTTTGACCTACTTCTGCTGCGCTTTTCTATTAAAAAGACATAATGTGTCCCTATTGTGGAAGACAGTCAAATCTTCAATACTATCTCATATAAGAATCTATTATTCAATGCTTAGCATGTTGATTACTCTATAAATTGGGAAATGTATTCAACATGGATGTTTAAAGGACTGAGTTTTTCTTAAATATTTAGCTCACTTGGATGCAAGTAATATTCTAATTAGACAAATATTGTTCTGACGTATACCTGTCTGTTTTTGGACAAAATGTAAAATAAATGTGATAATCATTATGTGAAATCGTACAATTATTGCTAATGGAAACTAAGAAAACCATAGACAATTGTCTTACCTGCTTCTACAAATGCATACAGTAAAAATCTACCATTGATTTTTTTCTTGCAATTTTGATGTAACATCCTTGAAGCAGTACACAATGGGTTGTAAAAAAAAACATGGGGTCCATGTGCTTGTTGGTTTATTTCTTTTTACCTAAAACAGAAAACCCAGTCTTTTTAATGCTGGGATTCCAATTTCCATTTATGTCACAGTGTATTCTTAACAGATCATGGTTGTGCAGATATTGCTGCCAGACATCAAAACATTATTCATATTTGTGTCCTAAATTAAAAACTATAATAGATAGAAGGCAGAAACTAAGGGAGCTACCATTTGATTTTTATGGGGGGGCTAGGATGAAATTTGAAAAAAAATAGGCAGGACAGGATTTTTGAGTAAAAAAAAAGGCAGGATGAGATTATTTGCAAAAAAAAAAGGCAGGATGACAATTTATGTAAAAAAAAAAGTCAGGATAAACTAAAAAAAAAAGGCAGGACCGAATAGAGTGAAAAATAAAAAGGCAGGACCGAATAGAGGGGAAAATAAATAGGCAGGACAAAATTTTCATCCTAGCCCCCCATAAAAATCAAATGGTAGCTCCCTAAACAGCATCAAGATCTACAAAAATGCCAATATGACTGAAATAATCTTCATATCGCTATATGATTTTAGGAGTATATAAAGATTGCATTTATGCAATCAAATCCCTTATGTGGATGGCTTGACAATTATCAATTTTCCAGACTTTATCCCTACTTTTGAGATGAACAAAACATTTAGTGCATTGAGAACAACATTATTTACATCTTATCCATGAACACTTCAAGAAATTTATCAATAAAATATAACTCTGATATTTAAGTTACAAATTAATTATCATACATGTCAAGAACATTACATGAACTGTGCATGGTGCATGAATCTAGTATCTGTTCTGAAAAATTTAATGATGTCATTGTTAATGTAATATTTCAATTGGGAGTTATCTTCCTTTGTTCAGGTGTAATACCACCAAATCATAGTATGTCACATCTGGTTGCATACGAAAAAGGTTAGAAAAAAAACATTCCCTTGAATTTGACAGTTGTAGGAAATTAATCCTACATTTCATTGCAGTAAACAATTTCTGAGTCACAAACATGTATTTTGGGTGTTTCAGAGCACCATTCTTTTTTTATTTGGTGTTTCTATAGACTAGGTTACCTTGTTACATGGTTACTTAAGCTTGAACACAGGAAAAAAGGGGTGAAAATTTGATTGGTTAACTTCCAGTGATGGTTATTATCTTATATGCAATGAAATGTTATGTGAAATTTTGTTTGTAGTACTGGACAGGATAAAACTTTACTCATGCCAAGTATTAACTATTTCTTTATTTGAAACAAAGATAAATTCTGCACAATTTTTTGAAAAGTGCAAAGACTAATAGGGGAAAAACAATGGTGGTATTACACCTTGATAATTTAAGTTAAGAAAAAATACAACTATATCTCCAGTTCATTGTGTTGCCTTCCAGTGGTTAATACAATGCAATGTTTAATTTTAGTTTCCACTGCAAAAAGAATGTGATATTTACCCTTCAGTGCTCACAACCACTCTGATTCTTTATTAATTTTAGCATATTTGCCTATTATCTCAAACAATATAAAATGTATATTAAAGGAGCTATTGCCCTTCAATTATGATTTTTTTCCCTCTGAAAATCAAATTTTTTTTACAAATGTTTTCTTTTATTGATATAAAAAATGCATATTGAGATCATGTCAGTGATATTAGATATTGCAATGACTGCATAGGAGGGGTCTATTGACTTGAGGAGGGGTTTGAAGATTTTGAATTTTTTTTATCCTGATTTTTGCTTTATAAATAATGTGATTTTGGCACTGACAAATGAAAAATTTAATGGACTTGATTTTACTTGAATGAACTTGTAAAGCTGAATATAGGAAATAAATAATTCATTCACTAGGAAAAAGTTGATCAAACTTTTGCGGGGTGAGCAATTAAGACTTGTAAGTGATTCTATTTATATATTCTTTGTATTTCTTACAGAATTCTCATCAAAGTGAGGAAGCCAGTTCAATGGACAACTTTTGAGTAGACAGTGATCAAGGCATCTACAGATAAGAAACAAGACTGTGGAAGAAACAGAATATAATCCTTTAATTTATTATGCTAGACATGTAAAGAATATTGTGCTTGTACAATTGGCTTATAATTTATGTATACAACTTTTTAGAATATGTTGAGTTTTAGTATATTTTTAAATGTTGTACTTATTCTTGTAAGGGGTAACATTTCACAGTCAATGTGACATTTAGGTAAGAATTAGATTTTTCAGCTACACAATATAGTTCCTTTATGCAGCCAGGATATTCTGTTTCAGGGGAAATTGTATAATGTGAAATTATATATTATTATGAGCTCAAATTTCCATCAATTAATTTGTTTATTGGAATTGAATATTTGCTCATTGATAATATGACAGCTTATTTTTCAAAAATCTTACATTCCTAATATAAAATATTTGTCTCTTTACATTAATATATCCAAGTTAACATCATTTTGCTTGTATTTAACTTATTTATTCCACAACCTGTTCTGTTCCATTTTTCAGCAGGTAAAATATCGAACTATGAGATGATATCATTTCAAAATTGAACAACTGCTTCATTTTCTTAGATATTTTAAATGTTAAATAGGTGTAAAATTTAAATGAGCAAGAAAAATCTATATAGAAATAGAATGACAGAATGACAGTGGAAAAGAATGAGTCTCAGAATCCAACAGTTGACCTGAATTGCCATATATTAAGTATTCCTAAATTCTCATCCACTTTTCATGTAATGTTGGAGCAGAAATCAATTTTTTATTTTGATTAATTAATTTTTTTATTGTTTCTACATAAAAGTGAACTGTTCTAACATTGAGACAAAAAAATATAAATACCAAAAAATCAGGGTGGTTGATATATATTCAGGAGGGCAGGGATGAGAATATTGGAATTATTCTATTATGGCTTTACATATCACTATGATATGAGGCAACAAGATTTCAGTGCTTGAGTTGAAATTTTATTTTGAATATTTGTGATGAACCCTCTTAAATGTGCCATTTAAAATTTATTGTGCCATAATGTATTAAAATACAGTATAAAATTGAGAATGGAAATGGGGAATGTGTCAAAGAGACAACAACCCGACCATAGAGCAAACAATGTTAATTTGCAAGTATAAACTACTTGCAAATTAACATTAGCAGTCTACATTGCAATTGTTTTGGCATTCCATTTACAAATTTTATTTTTTTTTTCCAGTTAATTTTGTATATTTGTTAAAGGTATAAAGTTTAGAGTTTACACTTCATTTTTTGTTATTTACTTTCTACTAGGTTGTCAGGTAGTTAGTGTTATAAGTATTTAATTTTTTTATACATATATCACATATATACAAATTTAAGTCATGCATTTAATTTTTTTGTACTAATTTACAAATGTTTGTCAAATATTTGATTTCAACATTTCTATTTATAAAAGCTAGATACATGCTACCTCCTTTGAGGATGTTGCCACTGTAAATACGACAATATAATGTAATTGTAAACACCAAATGTTAGATTTTAAAATAATCTTCATTTTCTTTATACAAAAGTGTGAATTTCATTATTTTGTTTATATATTGATATGATATTCTAGTAATCAGAGATGGTGTGTTAGATTATGCTTAGTGAACAGGAAAGGGTCGTTACTTGATATTATTATTGTGTATATTCTAACTAATTTGATTTATTTAGAAAGAGTCACATGTTCAACTATATTTTCAAAGGTAGACTGAAAACAGCAGATAGAAAAGTGATATTGCAGTTATTTTTAGAAAAGTGATATTGCATGGTTGTGCTCTACTTCTGGCTTGTTGGCAATAATAATATAACAGTTGTAGCCTTTGTATGAAGTCGTTACCAGGATATATCGAACTAAAGAAGTATATCGACGATATATCCTCGTATAGACCTCATACAAAGACTATAATTGTATAGTATCTGCTGTTTAAAAGTTTTAAACAAATGCAATATAGTCAGTGGTGGTTCAGTTTCATTGTATTCATCAACACCAGTCAAATCAGAAATCTTCAGTTCAGATTTGATTAGACTAAAACTGAAAATAGAAGCTGGTTTTTTTTATGCCCCCCGCCCCCGTAGCAGAGGGGCATTAATGTTTACCCTTGTCCGTCTGTCTGTCTCTAGGTCCACACGTCCTGAAATTGGTTTCCGTTTTCTAACTTTACTTTGCCTTAACCAAATGGTATGAAACCTATACACAATGCTTATTACCATAAAAAACAGATCAAGTTTGAATTTTGGTGGCGTCACTTTTACCATTCTAGAGTTATGCCCCTTTACAAATGGAAAAATTGCTGAATTTTATGTTTCCGTTCTCTAACTTAAGTTTGCCTCTACCAAATGTTATGAAACTTATACACAATGCTTATTACCACAAAACACAGATCAAGTGTGAATTTTGGTTTGGTCACTTTTACCATTCTAGAGTTATGCCTCTTTACAAATGGAAACATTGTTGATTTTTTCGTTTCTGTTCTCTTAACTTAAGTTTGCCTAAACCAAATGTTATGAAACTTATGAACAATGCTTATTACCACAAAACACAGATCAAATTTGAATTTTGGTGGCGTCACTTTTACCATTCTAGAGTTATGTCCCTTTACGAATGGAAAAATTGATGAATTTTTCATTTCCCTTCTCTAACTTAAAATTTAGTTTGCCTCAACTAAATGTTATGAATCTTATACACAATACACAGATCAAGTTTGAATTTTGGTAGCGTCACTTTTACAGTTCTTGAGTTATTACAATGCAATGTTTAATTTTAGTTTCCACTGCAAACTTTTGAATTTTGGTAGCGTCACTTTTACAGTTCTTGAGTTATTTCCCTTTATAATGTTGAATGCAAGCGGGGGCATCATCTGTGTACCATGGACACATTCCCAATTTATTTATTAATCATTTACTTGTACATGTGCATGGCATAATAATCTTGTTTTATCTCAGACTCTTACTTTTTTTTTCTTTTTTTTTTTAATTTATGCTTCATAAATTAGTATGAAACTTTTCTGAATATTGAAATATAAAAATAATTACGGCAATGGTTTGGTAATAGTTTGATATTAAGGGAAAACTGTCAAGAAAAAATTTATAATTCAGAGAAGATTTTGGCAGCAAGACATGTGATATAATGAACAGTGAAGAAATAAGAACTTGAACATAATCACTTCTAATACATTCAACTATGCATTAAAATATTTTGCTCCACAATATCTTTATTTTAAAATATTACATCTGGAAAACAATTCTAGTTAAACATTTTGAAATTCTTGTGTATATTTCATTCAGTCATAGAAAAATGAAAAATCCAGATACATTTCCGTTATTTTTAATCTTGAGCTCAGCAAACATCTGAAGCATTCATTTGAAAAACATATTCTGAATTATTATTTCAGCTTTGACAAAACGAGGCGTTATAGTTTAATAGTGTTTCTTCTAACTTTTTTTTCATGTATTTAATTTTTGAAAGTTGTATAAATATTGTAATAGTTGGAGTGAATTGCGAAAGAAAGCCTAACCTCAGTGTAGGGTAGACAGTATATCATTCATGTGGTTTACTGCGAAATAGACAACTATAACATGTACTTTTGATTGGATGACATATAGCTGTATGTGGGAAAGCAAATTTAAAATTGTGTGGTAATATAATGATATACCCAGAGAAATATGTGGCAAAATTATATTTTTTCAAGCCAAGAAAACCATTTCAGTTAGACAGTGGAAGACTGGAGGGCTGGTTAGTTTCGCTGGTTGTTACAGAATTCAATTTAATATTTTCCATCTATTATGAACTTTATCATATAATTAAACATGAAAATTGTAAGTGACGGGTGAAATACAGGGGCATGTGATCAAAGGTTCGTGATGAAGGGTATGTGATAAAATTGGGGCATTTACTTCAGGGTATCATCTGATAAAAGTTTTAAAATTAGTATTAGGTGTACAAAGAAGAAGTATTACTAGCTAAATGTATGATGAAAATACATAACGTACATTACTACTAATTATTAAACAGGATATATTTGTTTAAAAGAAAATATATCAGAATTGGTTTCTCAACTTAGTAGAAATAGTATGTAGTGATGTACTGATATGCAGATTTATCTTTTTAATCCTATATTTATATACTTTATAATTACAGTCACCACATTAATTTTGCAAACTTTTTATAACTTTTTGACAATCAAATGCATTTACACTTCAATTAAAATTAATTTAATTGTGCAATATAATATTATATTTTAACAATATTATCTTTTTTGTTAAATAGTTATTGTTTACTTTTTTACTGTGATAATATTGCTAAAGGTTGGTGTAAATTACTGTCATCGTTGCATTGTCCATTGATCAGTTAGAAATTCAGTTTGCATAATTAAAAAGCAGCGAATCTTTTCACAAAAAGCTTACGATGAAAATTGAAATTCATTATAAGTTAACTGAAATATTTAAGACTAATGAGCATTTTTTCTCGTAAGATTATTTTGTGAAAAAAAATCGTAGAATGTGAGTATATAATGAACAAGGATTTTGAAACGTCTTCTGCCCGTCTGTTTCCCATACATGCTGTATGTCATCTAAAAATAGAGAAGTACATATAGTTGTGAGGATTGATTTTATACAAATAGAATTAAATTGTAGTCTATTGTGGTTTTTCTGTGTGAAGGAATTTTTAACTGGATTTTCGAAGGAAATATCGATTATTAAAATGGGGATGTACGGCAGGCGGCTGGGTGGGCTGACGGGCGGCTGCCAAACAGTGTCACCACAATAACATGAAAACGCTTTAACAAATTTTTTTCAAATTTAAATATGTTGTTTCCTGGGACTTAATGAAGGTCTAGTTCAATTTTCAAGATTTTAGTATTTCTCCTTTTTGAGTTATCGCCATTTTTAATATCCAAAAGTGGAATTTTTAGATATTTTACTCTTGTTATCATGTTATGATTTGTCTTATCTCACAATAAAAATTGGAGTGACAGATTTATTTGAAAATTATCTATTTCCTAAGTGGTATTATAAATGATTATAAGCTATATCATTAGACATTTTGAAGATTATTACATTATTAATTATTATATATGTAATGTTAGAGTACTATGTTAAACCATAGTTCTGTTCAATTAGATCTGGGAAATATTTTAGCATATGATAATGATTTATTTTCATTATTAATTAGATCTTGGAAATATTTTAGCATATGATAATCATTGGAGTGACAGATTTATTTGAAAATTATCTGTTTTCTGATAATAAGATCTGTAGGACTGTATAAATGAAGTTTGAAATGTACTGTTCATTATTAAAAAAATTGTAGATAATTAAGTGTCCCTAAATCATATATATTCTTACCTCTACCCCGTTCAATTTGAGAATGTGCTTTTATCTTGTAAATGGTCGAGATCCCCACCCCTAAACCATATATATTCTTGTATGGGGCAATAAAACAAATCAAATGAAATATTGGGATAGTCCTCGGGTTCACACCTACCCTCCTTGTTTTTGAAAACTTGTAAATGTGCAAGCTCCCCACCCTAAAACCATATATATTCTTGTATTTTACAATAAAACAAATCAAATGAAATAAAAGGTGAGTCCCCTGGGGTCACCCCCACCCCATTCTGTTTGAGAACTTGTAAACGGTCCAGATCCCAACCCCTAAACCATATATATTCTTGTATGGGACAATAAAACAAATCAAATGAAATATAGGGGAAGTCCATTGGGGTAACCCCCACCCCCTTCTGTTTAGAGAAATTGGAAACGGTTGAGATCCCCACACCTAAACCATATATATTCTTGTATGGGACAATAAAATAAATCAAATGAAATTTAGGGGAAGTCCACGAGGGTAAACCCCACCCCCTTCTTTTTGAAAACTTGTAAACGGTTGAGATCCCCACCCCTCAACCATGTGTAATCTTTTATGGGACAAAATAACAAATCAAATGAAAATTAGGGGAAGTCCCCTGGGGTAACCCCACCCCCTTTTTTTGAAAACTTGTAAACAGTCAAGAACCCCACCCTGAAACCATTTTTCTTCTTGTATATTACAATAAAACAAATCAAATGAAATAAAAGTCTAGTCCCCTGGGGTCTTTTTTGTGATTGAGGTGTTTTCCTTTGAACAGAAATTGTTAATTATATACATAAAGTTTGATTACACTAAGCCTTTATAGATAATTTTCACCTGTTTATATGTCCTGTAATCAGTTTACTAAACATATTGTTAATGTCTTATCTTGAGTGACAGATTTATTTGAAAATTTTCTGTTTTCTAAGTGTTAATGATTAAAAGCTATATAGTAGTAAATATAGTTAGAAATTTACTGTTCATTATTAGACATTTTGAACATAATTACAGATAAGTTTTATAGATTTTTAAAAGACATTGTATTAATGATAAATAAAATTTTTGATTTTTTTTCTTTACTTTAGTAAATTGTAAATTGTTTGTTATTCTGTAAAAACTAATTTTCTGAATGCTATATATATTTCTTAATTAGGTGAACTCCTTTCAAAACTTAGCTTATATTGTCTATTAATAAACATATATTTAGATTTCTGATTTTGGGCCCAGTTTTCAAGTTGGTTCAAATCAGGGTCCAAAATTAAACTGTGTTTGATTTCAACATAAATTGAATATATATAGGGTTCTTTGAAATGCTGAATCTAAACCTGTATTTATTGTCATCATTAGTTAGATAATACCACATCGAGGTACTAAGGGTCCTGAATTAAACTTTTGTTTAATCAACAATTGAATTCTTGGGTTCTTTGATATGCTGATTTTAACAATGTTTGAGTGTTAAATCATATCTAATTTAAGAGAACTTAGTCATCACTGGTTGTTGTTATAATATTATTGATTATAATTTGAAAAATTACATCATTTCTAATTTTATAGAACTTAGTCATCACTTTATTCATTATAATCATATCTATTTATCAAGTTTGAGTTATTTCCCTTTGCACAGAATATATATGGATAAAATTAAATTGTGTTTCATTTCAACTTAAATTAAATATATATAGGGTTCTTTCAAATGCTGAATCTAAACCTGTATTTAAATATTATATTTTTGGGCCGTGTTTTCAAGTTGGTCCAAATCAGGATCCAAAATTAAACTTTGTTTGATTCACAAAAATTGAATTTATGTGGTTCCTTGAAATGCTGAATCTTACCATGTATTGAGAGATTTTGGATTGTGAGCTCCTTTATCAAATTGGTCCACATTGTGGTCCAAAGGGTCCTAAATTAAACTTTTGTTTGATTTCATTGAAAAATGAATTTTTGGAGTTTTTTGATATGCTGATTCTGACAATGTACTTATATTTTGGATATTGGACCATAATAGGTAAATGTGCATTTTCAAATATTTCAGTTCTTTGACCACATTCATTTTGTGTCACAAACCTATGCTGTGTCAAATGTTCAACCACTATCCAAATTCAGAGCAATTTTAAGCTTAAATGAAGTGTCCATACTTGCTCGACTGTTCAGGGTTTGACCTCTGCAGGAAAATCCGGTTTGCTGTCACTCTGACAGCCTCTTGTTTATTTTAAATTTAATGTCTTAACAGATTAATGTTTTCAGACAATCATAAGAAACATTAAGAAGTATTATTGTAAATAGAAATTTTATTATATGTATTATTTTCAGTACTAAAAATTTGATGTAAAGATTATTGTTTATGAACACTTAGATATTATTATGTACATTACTCTTTAGTGACATATATTCCATGGAACATCAGAGTTACAAGTTTACATTTAGACTAATTTAATTTTTCTACCTGTACTATTGAATTAGAGATGATATTTTTTTAAATCAATATTTGATGTAAAATATATAGAATATCACTAAGAAATAATTTTAAAAACATGTCCTACATAAATCTGGTCATTTGAAAACTATGCTTGTTTGAAAAGAAAAGAACTTGAACTTTAAAACCGTTTAATGTTAATTAGTTTATAGTTGAGATCAGGCAGTAACATTAGATTACAGTTTTGAAGGCCGTTAGCTTTAAATTCAGGATCAGAGAACAATAAACTACTGTTTATATCTAAACATGCATGCAGTTGTTTTATACGTGCACTTTGTTCATAGTTTTAAAAAGTTATTTAGTGTTATTATTAGACTCATCTTGCTCAAAACCCCTCTTCCACCTCTCTGTGGTGAGCAAGGGAGAAGACAATTGTCTGGTAAACAGAATGGGTACATAAAACAAGAATATGTTATAAATAGAATGTCATTCTAAGTATCGAATATTAATATGTAATTAAAATATAGATATGATACCTGTAATTTACCTGTACATGAAGGAATTACCTAAATGTAGACTTTAAATTTTATCCCAAATGTGGACTCCCCATTGGCGTAAAATATTTTTAGCTCAAAATGTTTCACCAAATAGCTCAAACGTGCATTCCCAAAATTGTATTGATCTGTTAAATAATTCATAGTGTTTTATATTACCTAACTCTTCTTGAGCCGGGATATCAGTCCAAGACTAGAAGAGAAGGTAAAACGAATAAGATTGCCCCTACAAGAAATCAAAAGAACATTTGGCAGGTTCTGTAACATATCACCTATGGACACATCCAAAGAATACTTTTAAGTTTGCATTTTTTTCTTCAGGGAGGGGGAGGGGTGTTATATTGTTAATCAAGAGATGGTTAGACAACAGCTGATTAGCATTAGAAATTTGGATGCAGTCACAAATTGAAATTTTAAAATTTTAAAATAATATGGGACTCTCTTTTATAAATAGTTTTAGTGTATATACAGAATTTCTACAGTTTGTGTAATATCTTAATACAAACAAATGTTTAAATATTTGCAATTTTTGTGCAATATTTGATAAATTGAGATTAACACTGTCTTTTTTATCTTTTATTTTTTTACCCTTTTCTATATATTTTATACAGTTGAAATACTTTTTCCCTATTTTAGATACTAAAGATATGTAACAGTGTTTATAAATTTTTTGAAATGAATTACTGTAATAAATTTATTTTTGGTGCAGGCGATTTCTCTGAGATATGATCTGTCTGTTTTCTCCACACAGGCCTCTACAATAACTTTTTTTCCAACTTGTCCAGTAGGACAAGTACATACCAAAACTTACTTGTCCGAATGAAATTGTAACTTGTCCAACAAAAATCTTAATAATAATCTTTTTTGCATTTTAAGTTGATTCAAGGAACAAAATGAATTAAAACAATAGAACAGAATTTGATTTATATCTTTTGAAATACCTTTTAAAAATATGAGTCGAGAACAACTGAATCTAGTCATGTCATAGGACTTATGTTCTAGTTTTCATCAATGCCAAAGTCTCATCAGACTCTACACATGAGGCACCGTCTGATAGGCCTGTCAATTTCCACTCATTGGATTTGTATCCTGGTTTTTTAAGTTGAAAAAAGTTTCTTCAAATTCAATCAATAAAAAAAAAGAAGATGAGGTATGATTGCCAATGAGACAACTCTCTGCAAGAGACCAAATGACAAAGAAATTAATAACTATAGGTCACCGTATTGCAAGTATTGTTTTTTTCTTCTATATATGATCAAATATGATTTGGGAATTTTATGGTAAATAATTTCTTCATTTTTATTTAAAAAATATTTTTGTTAAAAAAAATACGGTATGGTATTTATTATAAAGCAACAGAATAAGGTAGGAAAACGAGGTACTGATTTGTCTTGGTCCCGAAATGTCTCCTGCGTTGCCAAACTGTCTATTAATCATGTCTATTAAATATGTCTCCTACGGTGCCAAATTGTCTATTAAACTTGGAGCCGAATCGTTTCCGAGCTGGTGACGAACTGTCTTGTAAAGTTACCTTATCTACAAAGCGCATCGCTGATTCGGATCAGTAAGACTGGTTTCCGAGAATAGTACATGTATGCCTTTTACCTGTTAAAAAGTACCTGACAAAGAACCAGTTTTAAATTATCGATTGCAAGTAAACATGTCAAATTAATACTTGTGTTTATCTTCTTTTCTTGTTTTTTGTTTATAATTACTTTGTTCATCAAAGTTGGATTAAATTTATTTTCTGCATAATAATTTAACTTGTCCCGTCGGACAAGCTTGATATAGCTTTTACTTGTCCGACCTTTTTTTCCTCTGGTACCGGACAATCGGACAAGCGTTATTGTCGAGCCCTGCCACACAAAATTTGTTTTTCATTGCATACAATGCATTTAGTAATTAAAAATCTGGTGGATAATTGAATATTTTGAATTAAAGTACTTTTATCCAAGGGTGACAATTTTTAATGAATTACATGGTTAGGGCTATTTCATTTAAGTGGACATGAGAGAGGGTATCTTTTAGTCCCCTACTGACAAAGTCGAGGGGAATTTAAGGTTTGCACTCTGTCCATCTGTCTGTCTGTCCATCCGTCAGTCTGGCAAATCAGTTTTGCACACATTTTTCTTCTTGCTTGAAGATATTGATTTAATATTTGGTGTATTGTTTTATCATGACAAGTTACAGATCGAGTTAAAATTTTGTTCCAGTCTGATGATTTTGTGCAGAGTTATGGTCCTTGGACTTAAAAAAATTCACTCAAATAATCTGTTTTCCGCACTTTTTTTCGTCATGCTTGAAGATATTGATTTGATAATTAGTATATAGTTTTATCATGACAAGTTACAGATCAAGTTCAAATTTTGTTCTGGTCTGATGATTTTGTGCAGAGTTATGGTACTTGGACTTAGAAAATTCACTCAAATAATCAGTTTTCCGCAACTTTTTCCTCATACTTGAAGATATTGACTTGATATTTGTTTTATAGTTTACATCATGACAAGTTATAGATCAAGTTAGCATTTTGTTCCAATACAATGAATTTTTAACCGGAAGGGACTGTATTGCCATGCAATACACTCAGAATGCTTGTTATATTTAGAAATGGGTTGTGGGTCATTTTGGTTTTATTTTCCATTTGATGTTTGCAGAATTACTAGAAGAATGTATATCAGTATTTGGAGGATTATGGAAGTCCCATGCTACCCCACCTCACACATCTATTTTAATGGAATAGCCCTTAATAATTATAATATATTATGAAATCCATTTGATTATCAATTGAAAAGTCTGCAGTTATAAATTAAAAAAATCTATGAGGTAATCAATTTTTAACAAATGATGAAAATTAAATCCATGAAAAAGCTTTTTCTGTCAGTTAACAAAATAATATGCAATATACAATGTGTAAAAAAATGTTTTGTATTTTAATACCGGTGAATTTACTGCTGGACTTTTAAAATATGTGTAAAGTATATAAGCTTGTAGTTTTAGAACTAATATGCAAAATAAAACTGATCTGAATATTACATCTTTTGTTTACATGAGGCCAATATCTAGTTACAGGTATTTATATTTAACAACACATGGTAAATGCACAAGAAAACAATTTCACCATACTAAATTTTTTTATTTGAACAGATCCGTTGTGTTTTGTAATCTCAGGTTATAGTGTAATTGAAAGGATATTTGTATTATATGTCAATGAGAAACAACCAAAATGAATGACACAAACACTATTGCACATCTACATATGGTAAGAACAATAGTATATATCATTAAAAATCTTGCAACAAAAATGAAATAGAGGTTCAACTACAAGTTCCTTGTTACTTGTTAGAACCCAAATCCTGAAATGAAAAAAGCGTATATACATGTATCACTATTTTATAACAACGAGCTAATGTATCCAACAGATTGATATATTATTCCCCGTATGGTTTTTATCAATAAGAAAATCCCATAACATATAGTAAGCTATAAAAAGCCCTGACATGACATATGTAAAAAAAAAAATAAAACAAGAAAACCAACAGCCAGTTTTATGTACAAAACAATAAAAGAAAAACAAATATGGTAAACAGCAACCAACAACAACCACCGAATTACAGGCTCCTGATTTGGGACAGTCACATATAGAATGTGGCGGGGATAAACATGTTTGCAAGTGCTGAATGCTCCCCTTTAAGAAGTTAAGAAGGATGGGCAGATGAAGTCCGCTACAAATATCCCTTTATTTGTAGTTGTTGAGCTAACCATATGCATGCTCCATCAATGTTAGTTATAATGGTTGACATATATCATGATGACATTAGGTATTTGAAGTATTCTATGTTGTGTTTTGTGTACTGTTGTTAGTCTGTTGGTATTTTTTTATTTTTTAGCCATGTTGTCAGTTTATTCTCGACTTGTGAGTTTGAATGTCCCTTTGGTATCTTTCGCCTCTCTTAACACTAATATCTGCTATATCTGCGCATGCTGATTCGTATAAAGTATTCGTAAACCCTTTACTGAACCTCTTGTGTGAAACGGAACTCGGCGGAAAGATTGGTAACATAAACTGTTGTGCACCTACCTGCGCTGATGATGTTGCTATTATAGCATCAAATCCACTAGAGATACAGTCCATGATTGATATTGCTCTTGATTTCAGTCGTAGAGAAGGATATTTATTACAACCAACTAAAAGCGTAATATTACCAGAAAGAACTACCTAAAAAACAATAGAGACTGGAGAAGGGTTTTGAATTATGGACGGTAAGCAAATGCCAGTAGTTAAAACAGCAATACACATTGGAATAAATAAATAAGAAAATAACATCAGTTTAATCAACAGTTTAAGAGAACATCAAAAAAGCAAGACGCACTTTATATATCTTAATGGGATCAGCGACTCTTTTCACAAAAAAAGTTACGATTAAAATTGATCGTAAGTTATACTGAAATGCTCATGACTTTCGAGTGATTTTAATCGTAAGATATTTAGTGAAAAGAGCTGCAGGTCTACATGTAACCAATGTATTGGACTCAGAAACAATACTTTTACTATTTAAACTTTTGTTCTACTAATTCTAACTTATGGACTAGAAATCTTGATTCCAAATGGCAAATCACTTACAACTCTTAATCTGTATTATAAGAAATTATTAAAACAGCAACTAAATATATCTTTATCTACTAATACAGCAGACCCAGCCATATATATACTCTTCGGCATGATACCTGAAGCTGAAATACATATCAAAATTTTGACATTATTTGGCACAATCACTAGATCAGAAAAAAACTTCCAATGATTGTAGAATAGCAGAAATGCAGCTTAAACTAAAATCCTTCAACGGTTATAGTTGGTTCATTGATATTAAAAAGCTCTGTTAACAATATAAGATAGAAAATATAGAAAACTTTTTAGACAATCCGCTAACAAAAACAAAATGGAAATCTTTAATAAACAACAAGTTGCAGAATTACTGGACCATCACGATTATTGATGATTCGATTGGTTACCACAAAGACAGAAAACAATATAGACATTGTAAGGATTCCTACAAGAATCAAAATTGCAACAGGAACATATATCTTTCAATCTAATCGAGCTGCATTTAATTAGAATACAGTTAGTCCACCATGTAAGCTATATATAACAAGAGTCCTGAAATGTTATCACATTTTCTACTGACGTGTGAATCACTTGAAACAGATAGGAAAGGATTGATGGAGATAATAGTTGATAGAGGTAGTGAACTTTTAGCAAGATCTTGCTTTGGAGATAGTAACTCATTTTTAATCCTTTCAAGTATGCCATAGATAAACAATTATTAAAATAGTGATCTTAATCATAGTATTGCCAGAGACATATAATTGTATTATATGTCTCTGGTATTGCTGAACAGCTAGAAGTAGTGTGCAGACAGCTTATTTAATATCTGCATATGAAGCGACATGAACTGCTTACCAAACAACAAAAATGTGACAAGAAAAACAATCTGTCAAGTTGATGAGCAAAGTTAAAGCTTATTTTGACACTGAGACTACTATAACACATATGTATATAGTAGTTAATAGTGTTATAGTAGTCTCAGTTTGATAGTATACTGGTGATCATAGTGAGAATCGCCACAGGGATCATCAGTATCAATTATACAAGTTTTACAAGTAGACGTTTGAGCAGAAAAGTATCTAGCCTGGGGTCCTGGCTAATCTGG